CTATGTCTACTATGATAATAATTTTTTTGTTATTTTTCCTCTTTGATTAGTTTATTACGATGTTTATTTATTTATTTATCACTTGTTTAATCTTTTCAATTACTTTCTCTTTCCTTTTTAGACCTTTAAATTTCGTAATTCTTTTATAAAAGAATTTTTCTATACAAAACATTAAAACAATGAAAATAACGAATCATTAAGTTAATTAAGAAGAAAGAAGATACAACTTAATTATTTATTTTAAAGAGAATAAAACAGAAAAGTTCACTATACAAATTCAAAATCTTTTTTATTTAAAGTTCTTTAACCCTAATTATTTATTGAATTCAAATATATTGAATTTATTGATTATCAAAATATTTAAAACGATTCTAAATCAAAATCCGACTTAACATAATCAAAAACAGCAGTATAAAAATTTCCATTTTTCTTGTTCACGGCTACAGCTGTAATTGCCAACTCTCCAAACATTAGAGAAAATTCCACGAGTCTATCTAACCCTAATTCTACATCAGGTAAATTAACGTGTAAATTGCCAATCTTTCTCATACCAGGATCGTCGCAATATTCAGCATATTTAGGTGAAGCAAAAACCTTAAAAGAAATTGCTTTTTGATCAGGATATACAGGCATATATATGCCCGAACATTTCCTGTCAAGCTCAATCTTTTGTCCGCGTTTGGCAAGACAATTGAACTTGTATATTCTATCATCAGTCGTTCTTCGACTTTTCGGGTCGGTTTTTTCCCACTTCGGATAAATCTTGACACCTATTTAGAACGAACATACTGTAATGAGAGAAATGAATGAATGCAAAAATGGAGTAATTTTAACCTACCATAATACATTGTTAATATGCGATATTTTATGACGCTTTTGTTTAAACCATACATAACAGCGCCACGAACAACACTAGTAATGGGTTTCGGAGAAACACAAATGTATGGAACTGTGTTTTTAAATTCATCCTCAATTCTTTTGGTCAGATAGTAAGACTCTGAGAAACCACCGACCAAAAATATAGCAGAGCATCTTTCGGAGACACTAGAAAGCTGGTCCTTTATTAGGTTAATTATAGTCTCCACAACTGGATCAAACATCTCCTTAATATCGTCGAAACTCATCCGAATATGGCTACAATTCACATATTCTTTAAGTTTGGGACAAAATCTATTAAAATCCAGAGTAATTTTCTTAAAAGCCGTTTGTTCTCCGGTGTATCCAAATTTGACATGTTGACAAAAGAAGTTATGAATTAGGTATTGATATTCTTGGTAATGGTTTTCCTTAAATTTCTTAATTGCATCTTTTCCAAATTTTTCTTCCAGGAAAGCAATAAAATTTCTATCCACGTAAGTACTTCCACACAAGGCACTTGAACGTTCGGTGATTTCACCAATTGTTCTATCCTCTAATATAACGCGCATAGTTAAGTCAACAGTACCACCACCACTATCAACCACTAGAAACAGATCTTATGCGCATCGAAAAAAAATGATGAAGTTATCTTCCTCTGATGTAATAAACCATAAATGTTAACTAACCTCCAGTAGATAGATTGTGATCATCCATTTTGCTCAAACAATAAAGAGCAGCAGCTTCTGCTATAAAAATCAACATTGTATATTAGTATGGTATATG